AGTTCCCAGCTTGTACCTTTATTTTCAACACCGTAAAATGTAGTGTTTATATTAACATCGTAGTGTTTATGTTAGCTTCATGCTAACTAGCTTGCTACATTACAGGGCAGAAAAACAGCGCACCTTTAGAGGAATTTTATTTTTATTAAGTATAAAATACTGTGACTAGCCTAATCAACTCTGGCTATTTCCTTTTCTCCTTGTCATCACCAGGAAAGTGGTAAAATGGGACACAACACCGCGACATGTTGGACTCAGGGGAATGAACCAGAGTTTGGACCCAGGACCAGAATGTTAGTGACCACTCGAGCGATAGCAGCAGTAGACGACAGACTGTGGCTGTGCTGAAACGATTACTCCTGCTCATTTAGCAGGTGTTTTGGCAAATTACTTTTCTTAGTTTTATTACATGCACAGTAACGAGCTTAGGTGAAGTCTGACTTCACCTGCACCCTCTTTGCAGCCTCCCAGCTGCTGTCTGCTCCGTGGGGGGTGGGGTGGGCCGAGCCTCGCTGTCGTTCCAACAGAGACATAGAGTAAAGGTGGCAGAGAGAAGTTGCTCCATTAGCACCAAAACCTTATCGTCTGATCCACTGCTCTCGCTCACTGGTCTCTTTAAGAACCGTTAAAGAGCTCGGCTGCTATCTAATGCTCCCAGGTTTGCTCATATTTCCCCTATTCTCTGTGCTCTTCAATTCAGAATGAAATTCAAGATATTACTGTTTGGTTTTAAGGCTATTCCTGGCCTTGCACCATCCTATTTGTCTGACCTGTTGGCCATTTATGTGCCATGGAGAGCTCTTCGATCTGCTGATCATTTGTTACTGGTGGTCCTGCGATCTCGCTATAAAAAGTGGGGTGACTGTTTGTTTTCTGTTTGTGGCCCTAGACTATGGAATGCCCTGCCGGTTGTACTACGGGGGGAAAGTGATCTAGTGGCCTTTAAATCGGCCTTAAGGCCTTAAAGACCCACTTTCTTAAGCAGGCTTTCGAGTCCTAACTTGTGTTTTTAGAAGTGTTTTAGTATTGTTCTGTTTTTGATTGTACCGCACTATGGTGCTCTCACGAGCTGTAGAACGCTATATAAATAAAGTTTTTTATTATTATTATAAAATGCTCTTGGTCTCACAAAGTGAAGCTTTTGACCCTTAATTTGAGACTTAATGTGACCTGACATGTCCTTTTTACTGACAGCTGAATGGATGTTCTAAAACGTCTGATCTAAATCTCCCATGCTTTGTCTGTCATTACAGAAAAAAAGACGCACAAAGAAACCCAAACGCCATCGCTGTCAGAAGTGTAGGAAAGCCTTCATAACGCTAGCCCGTCTGAAGATTCATCAGAGAGAGCATACCGGAGAGAAACCATACGGCTGTGACCTGTGTGGGGCAGCGTTCGCTCAGAAGAGCTGTCTCAAAACCCATCAGCGATTTCACATCGGAGAAAAAACATTCAGCTGTGACCAGTGTGATAAAACATTTACTCAGAGGAGTCACCTAAAAACCCATCAGCGTGTACATACTGGAGAAAAACGGTACAGCTGTGACCACTGTGGGAAGCTCTTCTTTTCATTCATTAGCTTGCACAATCACACGCGTGTGCATGCTGGAGAGAATCCCTACTGGTGTCAGCAGTGTGGGAAGACTTTCACGTGGAGTAGTGAGCTAGAAATACATCAACGAATTCATCTGGGGGAAAAACCGTACATCTGTGAGGAGTGTGGGAAAACCTTCACTAGGAAGAGCAACCTACAGTATCACCAGCGGTTTCACACTGGAGATAACCTGTACAGCTGTGAGCAGTGTGGGAAGACGTACACTCAGATGCATCAGCTGGAGTCCCATCAGCGAAGTCACACTGGGGACAGGCCGTACAGCTGTGACCGCTGTGACAAGGCTTTTCTTCAGAAAAGTCATCTAAAAGCCCACCAGCAAATTCACACCGGGGAGAAGCCGTACTGCTGCGAGCAGTGTGGGAAAGCTTTCACTCGGGTAAGTCAACTGAAGACCCATGAAAGACTTCATAGCGGAGAGAAGCCCTACAGCTGTGACCAGTGCGGGAAAACATTTGTTTGGAGAAGTTACCTGAAGACCCACCAACAGATTCATTCTAAAGAAAAACCGTACAGCTGTGACCAGTGCCAGAAAACCTTTCTGTGGAGAAGTCGTCTAAAAGCCCATCAGCAGATTCACACAGGAGAGAAGTCGTACAGGTGTGACCAGTGTGGCAAAGCTTTTGTTTGGAGAAGTGAACTAAATGCCCATCAAAGAATTCATTCTGGAGAAAAGCCGTACAGCTGTGAGCAATGTGGGAAGAGTTTTACTCAGAAAAATCATCTGAAATCCCACCAGCGAATTCACACCGGAGAGAAGCCGTACAGCTGTGGCCAATGTGGGAAATCTTTCACTCAGAATAGTCACTTAAAAACACATCAGCGACTTCATACTGAAGGCAAGGTGTAAATCTGTGACCGCTGTGGTCGAGGATCGTCTAAAAACCCACCGACACACTTCAGACCTGTGAACAGACCGGCTGTTCTGGTCTAACTTATCTTAATTAGTTCTAAACACTGATGCCATTTTTTCTGTGCTTAGCTTGGATCTGCTTTGTCTCATTGGACTCCAACATCAGTGTGAGCTATAAAATACTGGAGAGCTCTGTACCTGTTGTAGAAAATCTGTGGTGGAGGTTCAGAGGTTACATGTGTCACAGATGCTTTGTGTAACATTACAATTCAAGCTAGGATACAGATGTGTTTTGTCTCTGTCAGACTTTAAGGAGCACTGAGCTCCGTCATTAAGGAAGAGTGAAGGACAATTAGGATGTGGCGTATTCTCTCAACCAACGCCCAGAGTTTGATTTGTGTATGGATCTGGATGAGTGTGGAGCCTGGCATAGTCCTGTGTTTGATAATGTAGAGTTACGGTGTGATGAATATGACCTTTCCTCAGTTTGACTTTGACATGCAGCTCTGTTCATGTCCCACTCACAACAGAATAAATACAGTACATTTAAGAAGACGACTGTGACTGAACTTCTGCTTTGGACCTGAGACGTGGGTGAGTACAAATAGGAGCTGCCCATCTCCTGTTGTCCTCTGTGTGCCACCTGATGGGATCATTAAATAGAATGAGTAAAAGCTCGACTTCACGGGCTGTTGACAGACTGATGGCAAGTTTATTTGTATAGAACATTGTCTTACAGTCACATTAAAGGGCTTTAAATGACAAACATGACATAAAAACCTTTAAATACAAATATAAAAAGTAGAAGATATGTAAAGATATAAAAGTACAGACAAGTTTAAGCCAGAATTTACAGAATAAGTACAAGTTAATTAAAAGTAGAAGATAAAACAGTAGCCTGTAGCTGTAAACTCCAGTTGGGGCAGATCTCAGTCCTACTGGGAGCTGGTTCCAGCTGTGGGCAGCGTCGTGGCTACAGGCACTTCCACCTTGTTTAGTCGGAACTCTGGGCACCACCAGCTGATCTGAGACCAGGTCTGTACTCGGCAAACATGTCTCTGGTGTATTTTGGGCCCAGACCATTGAGAGACCTGTAGACAATGAGTGGGGCCTTGCACTGAATTCTGTATTTAACTAGAAACCAGTGCACAGATCTAAGGACTGGAGTAATGTGTTGTCTCTTCCTGGTGTTTGCCAGTGGTCTGACAGCAGTATTTTGAGTTTTCTGATGGTCTTACTGGGGAGGCCAGGCAGTAGAGCTTTACACTAGTCTGCCCCACTAGAAACAAAGGCATAAGTGAGCTTTTCTAAATCCTGCTTAGACCAAGTTTCTCACTGGCTGTTTTTAAGGTGCCAGGATAATAACTTGGTTATAGCTTTGATGAGGCCATTAACATTTAGATCCCATCAATGATTACACCCAGTTCTTAATTGTATAGCTCTAGATTGAAGGGGAGCGTTTAGTGCTCGCCTTCCCTGTTTAAAGTCAAGAAGAATTATTCGTCTCCTCTTCATTCAGGAGCAGGAAAAGAGAAATGTGAACCAGCACAGACCTCGGTGAGTGGTTGTCAGCAGGTCTAGGTAGGACAGAGTTTTCAGCACAAAAGGCAAAAATGGTGCTGGTCATCAAATCAAATCAAAATTTATTTGTATAGCACTTTAAAAACAAGGTCTGGTCGACCAAAGTACTTTACATGGCAATGCAAATCCAGAGTAAAAAATATCAACAGAGAAATAAAACGACATAGGAACATAAAAAACACCAAGTACACAGAATCAAGAGATAAAAGAAGGAAGCATCAGACAACACTATGTATTAAAAGCCAAAGTGAATAAATATGATTTAGCCAATGATTTAAAAGTTGTCAAGTCTGTGGAGGATCTAACATTAAAAGGTAAACCATTCCACAATTTAGGAGCTGCAACAGTAAAAGCACGGTCACCCCAGTGTTTGTATCTGGCCCTGGGCACCTCTAACAGAAACGGGCTTGGGGATCTGAGTAATCTAGTCGGTTCGTGCCACGTTAGCCATGACCCACAGGTAACAATATCAGTGAAGATTAGACTGATGTGACAGACAGTAATCCTCTGACATCAAAGTTTAAGAAGTTACTTTTATAGTCACTCAAATCTGACTACACTACCCATGATGCCTTGCATGGTCCGTTGCCGGGATACAGCACATTCTTCACGATGGTTCAGCTAGCGGCTGTCGCCAGCACCATTTTGAGGCAGAAAGACGCGTTTAGACTGAACTCAGACCGTCAGTAACTTTACATTGAAAACACATAAAGGCAGGAGGTTTGTGTCTGTGACTGTTTTGTCCTCGGACGTCGTGTGTTTCCCGTCTCGGTCGGTTTAAACCCTCCCGTGCTTCGGTTTGTCGTTAGCAGTTTGTTGCTGTGCTAGCTTCACTAACAGGGCAATGTTTTGTAATAAGGTCGGTACTAACGGTCAGAAAAGCGGTTAAATTGGTTGGATTATCGATGCTAGCGGACAGATAAACTGTTGTGTCGATAGGGACCTCTATTACACTCACAGACACACAGGTGAACCGGTTATAAGTCGGTTTAAATTGGTTTATAAACACTGAATCAGGGCTAAAGCGAATCTGACCGGTATATAAATGTGTGTGACCGTCGTTGGGTCCACCCGGTAATCTGTCGGTGTCCTATGGAGTGGACTGATCGGGGTAAAGACACCGAACTGTTGAAGAACCAGCCGTACGACGAGAGCCTGGAAGTGATCGACTCCGAGGAGGTGTTGAGCGTCTACAGCCCGACTCCCCACAGCCATCGTCAGGTAACGGTCACCGGTCATCCCGGTCACCGCCCTGTCCTGGGACGTGGTGTAGCTGCACTTACAGCTCTTTTAAGATAGAAATCATAATAAAATGACAATTTAGATTCATGTTATACCAACTGAACAAGGAGATCGAAGGCTACAACGTTATTTCGAGGCGCACTTTCAGAAACAGCTGTAAAAATGATTTTGCAGCTGATTTGTTTTAATCCACTTGTTTAGCAGAGAATTATTTTCAGACCACATGCAGCTTCATAGAGAACTCTGTTGGTTTTCATTAGTATAGATCCACTGTCTGTGAAAGCTGGTGCTTTATGGTTTGGAACCAGATAAACACCACTGAGCTTGTTGTCAGATGATCCAGTGATTCTCCTCCTTTCAGTCAGAGTCCAGGAGGAGCAAGAAGGGTCGTGGCCTGATGTCGGCCGACAGCAGCAGTGACGAGTTCGATGAGGACCACAAGTCTCAGAGAGCCAAAGAGCCGATCCGCAGGAAGCCTGGGAGCAGGCTGAGGAGGACGAGGAGGAAGACGAGGACGACTCAGATGAAGAGGATACAGACGATGACGATGAGACCGGACAGGCTCCGGAGGGGGCGTATGACCCCGCCGACTACGCCAACCTGCCCGTCAGCACCGAAATCAAAGAGCTGTTCCAGTACATCACACGGTGAGGAAGAGGTTGAGATCAGACACACAGATGCAGGTGAAGAACAAGGTGCCTCGCACTCTTCAGGGTTTACTTAGTTTCATTATCGATTCTGTAGCGATGCCTGTTATAATTTCCTGGAGTCTTGAGTCAGTCCTCAGATGTCCGGTTGTGTCCACAGCTCTTCAGGATGACGAAGGGAAGCATTACATCATCACATTAGAGAATCTAACGCCAGCACACTTTTGGTGTTTCTGCTTTAGTCACAGTTCAACCTGTTGTGGTGGAAAAAGATATTCTGGTTCCAGTTTCTCAGGTTTGAGGACTTGCTACGTTTCTTCATCTTAGATCACGGCAAACTGAATGACTTTGGGTTTTGGGGCATTTTGTCAGATTAGACAGAACATCTGATGATATTCAGCTTCAGGAGCATTTCTTCCCCAATTTGTGATGTTTTGAAGACTAAGGGAGTAATCATAAAGTAATCGTGAGATGAACTGGTAACGACAGTCATCGTGACTTTTCTTCCTGATGTGTGACTGAAGAGCAACGACAATAGACTGAGTATAATACTGTTTATTATCCAGGTTCAGAGGTGGAGAGAAACCTGTTTGTGATGCATGCTGACAGCGGTTTGTGTCTTCTTTATTAATCTGACCTGCAGTCAGCGCATGTCCAGTCATTTCAACTTGAATCAGGAAACAAATGAAATCCTCTGGTCACAAACAAACTTCCTGTAAAGCTGCTAATGAAGTGAGTCATTTATGATGACATGACCTCACTGTCCCCTCTGTTATCTGCTCTCAGTTACAGTCCTCAGACCATGGAGCTGGAGCACAGCCTGAAGCCGTTCATCCCAGACTTCATCCCAGCTGTGGGCGACATCGACGCCTTCCTGAAGGTACAAAGACACAGTCTGCTGACTCAGTACCACTACATCAGCAGGAGGTACTACGAGTCTTTGTTTTGGCTCCATGGTGAATATAAATCAGCACTTCCTCTAGAGTTTCCACATTAAAAGTCTTGCTGCCTGCTTTTTTTATATGAAATCTTTTAATGTGGGGAAACATCAGGAAGTGAAAAACACTGAGATGGTATTTTAACATGATCACGAGTACGGCAACAAGAAAACACTGGAGTTAAGTAGCATTAAAGTGTAATTATTTGAGTTAAGAGCTTGTTGTCGTCGTACTGATTAATTAGTGCTGTGGAGATTTATTAACTTGTTAACAGTGGGTCAGACCGATCAGTGGGCTGCTAGACAAGACGTCTGATTGGCTGGTGGAGAAAGTTTCACTGATCAGCAGCTGCTCTGTGGTTTGATTAAAACGAATCAGATTGTTCTCGTCCGTTTTCCACATCGTTGAGGTGTTTTGTGATTAAAAATCCTTGTCATAGCTCAGTGTCACAGGTCATTTTATCTGTAGCTTTAGTCTCGTTTTTCTCATAAGAAGTAAATAAATAAGGACATGTACATGCGCGTTGAGCCGCTGTACCAGAATTCCTTATGTGTCCAACACACCTGGCCAATGAAGCTGATTCTGATTCTAAATAAGTCACACTTGATAAAATGGACCGGTATATATTTAAAGAAATGATAGTGGAAGTTTATCTCCCTGACCTCTGACCCCACTGTGACCTGTGTGGCGTTCAGGTACCGAGGCCGGATGGTAAAGCAGACGGTCTGGGTCTGCTGGTTCTAGACGAGCCCAGTGTAAAACAGTCCGACCCCACGGTGCTGTCGCTGTGGCTGTCAGAGGAGACCAAACAGCACGGGGCCGCCAAGGTACACACACCTGTATCACACACTTTTACAGAGCAGAAGCAGTTTGTCAACAGAAATTTAATCAGGTGGTCGAAGTGATTGTTTTTATTTATTTATTTTCCAAGCAGTGTCCAGTTCCAGCTTAATTTGTGATAGTAAATCATTAGTTTTGGCCTTTCCAGGTGTCTGGAACCTCAGACAGGTGTTATGACATTTTATAAACCAAACCCTTAGTTAAAAATATAAATGAATCAACATTGTTTTTTCCTGAGATATGCAAATGTATGTTGGGATCTGTCAGTGGCTGAGTTTTAAAACATCTGCCCTGCTCTCAGGCTCACGCTGCCTGGCAGTGCGCCTCAGTAGCTGTTCAGCCAACCACCACCAGGCAGCACATGCCCCTGGTGGTTTTCACGCTCTCTCTCTCTCTGCTGTAGCAGGGCAGAGGATGGCGTCTCGATTACTTGTCCTCAGTGTTTACATTAGTTGTTGTGAGGGCTGAGTGATCCTGAGCTCGGGGTAAATAAACAAACTTGTCTCAGCCTTTCATTGTCTCTCGCTCTCTCTCTCTCTCTCTCTCTCTCTCTCTCTCTCTCTCTCTCTCTCTGTCTCTGTCTTGTCCAGTTGAAGAAGGTGACGAGTGTCGCTAGTCCTCAGTCCAACCCTCGGGTGGTGGACAGCTGGGTGGAGAGTATCAGTGCTCTGCACCGCTCCAAACCTCCGGCCAGCGTCCATTACAGCCGTCCCGACATTGACGGCCTGATGCAGGAGTGGCCGGCCGAGCTGGAGGAGCTGCTTGGCCGCCTGCAGCTGCCCCCCGCCCGCCTCCACTGCAGCCTGCCGCAGTACACCGACATCATCTGCAGCCTGCTGGACATCCCCGTTTACAGCAGCAGGATCCAGGCTCTGCACCTGCTGTTCAGCCTGTACCTGGAGTTCAGAGACTTGCAGCACTTCACACGCTGAGCGCAGACCTGATGCCACAGTGAGAGAGTAGAAGGACTTGGTCTCACCCAGGTCTGACAAAGTAAAGGGCAGCGGGTGCAGAAACACAGACACTGGAGTGATCCATAACCCCAGAACCTTACTGGTACCAAGCAGAACATGTAAAGTATCAAAACTGTGTTTTAGTGACAACATCTGGTCAGACTGATCAGAGTTGATCAGAGAATTCCAGGTTTAACTCTGTTTAGTTTCAGACTATTTTGTTTAGACAGAGCTACTTGTGTTTAGACAACATGTGATGTCTTTGGCTGCTTTTGTAGGAAAATACTTTTATAAATATCACAGTAATTCGACTCTTTTTACTGTGATACTCTGAAATAAAGGCAGTGCCATAAAAATCCTCTACAGACTTGTGTGTGCTGTTAGCGGAGGATGTGTGCACGCTCTCAGCCAGATGTCCCTCAGCACGGTGACCTCTTAGGCACCAGGCCCTAGTCCTGTCCTCCACAGGCTGATGGGAGTCCGCTCATAAATGTATGAGTGTAACTGACCTGAAGGTGGGACGTTCATCTTCAGACCCACACCTGAGGCCTGTGTCTGTGGACAGACCGTCCTCCAGCCATGGTGAGGTTTATTCACTGCAGCTGTGTTCATGTCTTCCACCAGTGTATCCTCAGCGTGCACACTTCTGGACAGATCACAGTTAGTGTTCAGTTCCTAAACTGCAGTACAGACTAAGTGACAGCTGCTCACATTGTGTCAGTGTGTAGATGAGACAAGGGAGAGTTGTTCAGCGCCGCACATCAGTTTTATATGTGGTGTTTTATACACATTCTGCATTAGCCTATATCTCGTTTTTATTGTTGTTTTATACACATTCTCTGTAAATGGCCGCACTGTTATTAATGCATTAGCCTATATCTCGTTTTTATTGATACTGACGTATCAGTTTACGATAAAGAAACGTTTAATTTGTTAAAACAATTGTCTGTCTCCCACAATGCATTGCGCTGTTGTGGTTTAGCTCCCTGTCCAACATGGCGGCCGCTGGCTGTGTCCTCCACAGAACCCTGACCCGGTCCGGAACCCTTGCGAACAAGGTTTGATTCAGTCTTATGTTCGTCGACGTAGCGGACCTGGTTTTTGTTTCTGTCTCCGTCCAGGTCCGTGTGCTTTCCACCAGACTCCATTCAAATATCGATCGGTTTAATGTCGCTTTACTAATCAATCATTTCTCTTACTGAGCAGGTCAACACGTTTTGGGTAAGAAGCTCAGAATCCGCTTTATTGGCCAGGTGTGTTGGACACACGAGGAATTAGACTCTGGTACATCGGCTCCAGCATATAAATAAATAAATATATATCTCCTTCAACTTAACAGTAAAAGCCTAGTTTATAAGGACGAAGATTCCATATGGACCGCGTAAGACGTGATTTTTATACCAGAACCGCTTGGTGAATGTCGGATATTATAAAACAAAGCATGGATTTAGAGACTGTGGAAACCTAGTGTTTATAAATAAATTCTGTTGATATGCAGAAATAACAGCATATGTAGACACATACTTTGAGTTGTAAACGTGTTCACTGTTAGTCACTATTGGCTACGACAACTTTAAATTGTAAGATATTTGAATTAGGTTTGGTGGAAGCTAATGTTATAACAGCGCGTCAGTTCACGTTTTTGTTAAACGTTTTATTGTGTATTGTTTACTTCTTGTTTCTTCGTTGTCATTGTTGATACCGATGAACACGTTTTTACAACAAATAACCGTACTGATAATAACTAATGATAATTTAATGCTACTATGACAAATAACCGTACTTATAATAACTAATGATGATTTAATGCTACTACGACAAATGACCGTACTGATAATAACTAATGATAATTTAATGGTACTACGACAAATGACCGTACTGATAATAACTAATGATAATTTAATGCTACTACAACAAATAACCGTACTATAATAACTAATGATAATTTAATGCTACTACAACAAATAACCGTACTATAATAACTAATGATAATTTAATGCTACTACAACAAATAACCGTACTGATAATAACTAATGATAATTTAATGCTACTACAACAAATAACCGTACTGATAATAACTAATGATGATTTAATGCTACTACAACAAATAACCGTACTATAATAACTAATGATAATTTAATGCTACTACAACAAATAACCGTACTATAATAACTAATGATAATTTAATGCTACTACAACAAATAACCGTACTGATAATAACTAATGATAATTTAATGCTACTACAACAAATAACCGTACTGATAATAACTAATGATGATTTAATGCTACTACGACAAATAACCGTACTGATAATAACTAATGATAATTTAATGCTACAACAACAAATGACCGTACTGATAATAACTAATGATGATTTAATGCTACTACGACAAATGACCGTACTGATAATAACTCATGATAATTTAATGCTACTACGTCACCAGGGCCATCGTCTGCACTTCAGACGACATTTCTCATTCACTACCAACCAAACTCATCTTAAGATGTTTAGTCCATTTAAAAACACCAACTACTAGTGTAACAAAACCCTGAGAGTCTAGTTTTGTATAAATCTGGACAGCGATGACTTACTGCACCAGATAATATAAAGTTTGATACATCTTTGTTTTTACTCATCATTTCCTGTGTGTTCCTGTCTTGATTTGTTGTTTTGTTTGGGTTTGTTTGTCTGGCAGGTGTCCTCATCCCCTCCCGCTGTCTGCAGGGAGTTTCTGTATGTGGTGGACCTGCAGCGTTACAGCAGAGACGAGGGATCCTCCATCTACCTCCATCAGGCTGTCCTCAGCGGTCAGAGACACAATAGACAGGATCAAACAAAGAGAGAAGACAAAGCATTGTTTTCTGTACAGTGTGAACTATGGCCTGTCCTTTAGTTCAGTCTGCTGGTCTCACTGGTTTTGTTGGGGTGTACTCGTTTGGTGTCTCTAGGTGATGACCTGTATGACATCACACTGACAGACGGGGACTGCAGGCTTCAGGTGACTCTGGATCCTGGTCTGAACCGGCTGGTGGAGCGGAACATCCTGCAGCCTGGATCAACACTACATAACGCCACCTTCACCCCCTGTGGAGAGAGATACAGGTGGGTGTGGCCTGGTGGACACAGCTGCTGTGATGTAATCAGTCAGGTTTAATATTTCTGCTCCTTTAGCTACAGGCTGGTGAGTGTGGAGGTCACAGATGGAGCTCCAGGCGATGATGATGACGGAGTCAGGAGGGACGATGTGGACTGGGACTCTCTGCCCTGGTTTGGCTCCTCACATCCTGCAGGTACAGTGAGAGGTAACCAGGGGTTTCAAAGTGAGACAAATACAGATGGGAGACAATGAGAGGAGTGTCTCAGTGAGGTGCTGGGCCACCACATGCGGTGCGTTCACCTTAGCAGTGTTGTCTCGTGTTTAGCCTAGCTACATTTTACCTGTGACAGATCACTGATGGTTAAATACAGCGCTGTTTAATTTAGGACTCTATGATCTGCTGCTTATTAGCACGCTAGTCATGCTAGCACCTGAAAGGTCTGTTTACAACCCCACATTTCTCCAGGTGGACTCTGGTGTGACTGAGCCATCGGTTTGACTACCTCGGATCCAAACAATGGATTTTGATTGATCCCACAGGTCCTGTGCTTCCTCTGAGAGCCAACAGGAGTGTGTTTCTCCCTCTGTGGAACAATGTGGACTACAACGGGGCCGTGTGGCGGGAGGCCCTGCCCACTGAGGAAGAGGAAGAGGAGGATGAGGAGGAAGGTGGTGATGGATCTTTAGAACTGTCACTGTTCACGATTAAATATTAAGCAATTAGAATATGTTTAATTTTCTGAGTCTTCACTTTTTAAGTTTTTGGCAAAATTAGATGAAAAATAAGCAAAAACATCTGAGATACGTGTTGAGTTAAAAGGTCAAATTAATTTATTAAAAAAAAAATATTTGAAATTAATTAAATATCGGTTGTTAAGTAAGTGTGTGTGTTAACAGAGCAACGTCCTGCTGCGACGGTCTCTGAGCTGCGAGACTCCTTCCTGTCTGGTCGTCGGGGCGTCGCCAGGGGCGTCGTCCAGCTACAGCTGATTGTACGCATCATCAACAAGTCACACCTGATGTATTATGGGAAAACAGACCGGAGCTGTGAGTGTCCTTATAAGGTCAGTAAACAAATACATGGTGAGGTTGAAAATACAAGACGTGAAGTTATAATATGTAGGCAATAAACGCTACGCCTACATCAGTGGTCTTTGTTTGTGTATCGCTCTTCAGTTACAGTTACACTGTGCACAGCTAGAGAACAGACAAAATGAAGCAAAAGAGACACTGGAAGCAGAAGGACCAGTTAATGCCTCAGAGATGTAAAGTCTGCCCAGTTTTATAAAGACCTGCTAAAATCAGAGGTGCCTTGTATAATGGTTGTAATTCCTGCGTTGCTCATACAATATTTAAACCTTTAAAGCTGACAGTCGACACTTAACCAGATATTATGAAAACTGTCGCTCTGGTCCAGCTTGTAGAGTAGTGACAGCAGAAGTAAACATGACCAAGTTTCCAAAACGTGAGGTGAACATCTGTACAAATACTCCCTAAAAATGGATTGTGGATGGATGTTATGTAGTGTTTCATATGTCTAAATGGTCAAAGAACCTACGACTGGTCCCTGTGGAACTCCAAACTCTCTTAACCTCCTGCTTGCTCTCTTTTTCTGTCCAGGCGGTGTTGGAGGTGTGTGACCAGACTGGAAGTGTGTGTGTGGTGTTGTGGAACAGCGTGTGTGTCAGCTGGTATCGCTGTCTGAAACCCGGTGACATCATCAGCCTGAGACGCTATCGAGTCAAACAGCATTACCAGGCTGAGCTGGATGATATCGGTATAAACAAACCTATCTCACCATCCTTTGGAGACCATCCATTGACAGGAAAAGGGCAGATCCTGGGTCAGCTGACCTTATTTGTGTTGGTCCCCTAACTCCTTAGCCTAATCTGAACCTAGTCTAAGCCCTGAAACAAACAGTGAAGGTGCTGCAGATGCATCGTAGCCAGGCTCAGGTTGAACCTGACCTGACGTTTGCTGTCATCTGAAGAGCTCAGGTTGTCTGTAACCAGGTGTAATGAACCACATTATAATATAGTGTGATGTTAATGTAGCGGACACCTGTGTGTGTCTGTTCTACCTACGATAGCTGTGTGAGGACAGACTCATCACTCTGGTTCTCTTCTGTCCAGAGATCAGCGTGAACAGCAGAAATCCTACCGCTCAGATAACTGTTCTCCCAGAGTCCTCTGTTCCACCTGATTGGCTCCCACCGCCACCGTGCTACCACTTCTACAACAGGTACACACACGTTTGGCTTTCTGTACTTGTGAGGTCTGTTGTCCCTCCTCAGAATCAACACAACATCTCAGCGATGGCTCCGTTTTCTGCTTCGTCTTACTTTTATATAACGGATAATGGTGCCACGGTTTCTGGAGCTGTGACAGCGGCGGATTCCTGTCAGTCAGACGTAGGTCACGTTTACGTTTGTGTTCCTCACGGCTTCATTCAGACAAAACCATGATGGAGGGAGCTGTGGAACATGCGCAGTATTCGCCGTATGCATGAGATCGTTGTGATCTTGTTCATGTGTATCTGTCCGTGCACCTGCATGCAGCTCAGACTGGTACCATGTTGTAAATGATACCAGGTCCGACTCGGTGAGATAACCGTCGTGACTTGAACAGTAGTGGCCAGGGCGCTTACTCAGAAACGAAGCCGACACGTTCAGATGAAGAAGGGTTCATGTCTAAAAGGGGCCTGGACTCACCACTGACCCCCCCACCCTCCTTCATCTGTCCTCTGCCTCGCCTCTAACGCTAACCTAAACTGAACCCTTGATCAGGATGTCCTCACAGCATAGAGGTGTCCTGTCTTAACCTGATGCAGACGGTGGCATCACGCTCTCTCTCTCTCTCTCTTCCCATCAGTCAGCAGCTCCAGGACTGTCCTCACAGCCTCGTGTGTGATGTCATTGGCCTGCTGATGTTCTCAGGACGAGCAGAGCGAATCAGGAGCAAGGGTGAGGGTTGCCATGGTGATCAGCATAATACATTAATAATCAAACTCCAGCCATGGAT